GATCTTTAGGATCTAGGATCTCTAGGATCTAGGATCTCTAGGATCTAGGATCTCTAGGATCTAGGATCTCCAGGATCTAGGATCTCTAGCATTTCTGACCTGAAATTTCACGTTTTCCATTCAGATTCCTTTTAAAAAAATCAGTTAAACGTGAAAATTCTACTCCCCTCGACTCCGCCCCTTTTCCAGACACAAGAATGACCTCCACACAGTTTCCCAGAATCCCAAAAAATTGGAATCCATCTCAAAAATGCTGTCGAACAGCGGAAAAAAGTATTAATCCAATAGAAAATAAGCGAAATGATTGTTCATCTGTTTCTGTTACTCAACCTAGCCGTCTTTCTTATCGTTGGCTGTTTTGTGAGTGTTTGCGGACATCCGGATAAACAGATTTGGCCCGGAAAGCCTAGAAATGGAATCTGGTAGCCGTTTTAGACTTTCTGGACCAATTTCGGGAATTTTGATTCGAATTTCGACTTATTAGAGCCGATTTTTAGACTTTAAAGGCTCATTTCCACGCATTTTGAGTCAATTTTCAGACTTCCTAGCCCAATTTTAGGGCTTTCTTAGCCAAATTCGATTCCAGACCACTGCCTCCGAAACCGATTTTTAAGCTCAAAACCACGGAAAAATCGATGTAAACCCCTTTTTCCCTTTCAGGATGATCCACCGCCACCCCGACCGCGGCCGCGGCCACCACCGGCGGTCATTATCAAACAGCCGCGTCGACCGCCGCCACGATCACGCGATTCGGATCGATCGACGAAGCCGGTCAAGGAGAAGAAGATCAATGTGTCGATGCCGAAGCCGAGTAAGAGAATTTTAATAGAAAATTCTGGAAAAAAAAATTTTTCTTTCAAATTTACAGCCGAGCCAAAAATGAAGACTCGCGAGTGCAACGACAATGAGACTGTCGAGGAGACGCCGTCGGAATGGGGAAACATCGATGCGTCGTTTGTGGTGAGCAATTCTCAGGAAAAATGGAAAAAAGCCGAGTTCTGGCTGAAAATCTTGGAAAATCGAGCGATTTTTGTTTTTTTTTAGACTATAATTTAGCTATGAAAACTGGAAATTACACCGAAAAAAAGGAAAAAAACCATAAAAATCGAGATTTTCGAATTTTTCACTGTTTTTCAACTATTTTTAGGTGAAAAACAAGCTGAATGCTTTAAAAAATGCATTTTGCTGAAATTCTAGCAAAAAATCAGAAAAAAAACGATAAAAATTGACCGAAGAATGAGTGGAAATGATGCAAAAAATAATGGAAAAAAACGGATAAAAACTTCGCGGGATTTCTACAGTAATTTTAAAGGCACATAGGCAAATTTTGTCAAATGGGTTTCGCCACGAAACTCTTTTTTGTTAATTTTGGGATTTTTTTTTTAATATTTTTGTTTCAGAAATCACCAGCGAGAGCAAAAAAGGCGAAGAAGTCGAGGCCGCATTCTTAAACTCGATTTTTGACAAAAATTATTGAAAATAAACCGATTTTTTCGTATTTTTCTAATTGTTTATTGATGGGATTACTGTAATCATGTTAAAACATGAAAAGAAACAGTACAGGAAGATATTTTCGAACATAAAAGAGTGAGAGACGGAGAAGTTGGAATTGGACGAAAATTAAGCTTTTTTTTGGGATTTTTGAAATTTTTAGGAGAAAGAATTCTCTTAAAAAAGCAAAATAATGAAATCCCTTGAATTTCTCACACATTTCCGACTAATTTTGAACTTTCTGAGCCTTCTGAGAGCCGAGATATAGGCTTTTAAAGTTTGAAGAGACGCAGACAGTTAGAGAGAGTGTCGTTGTCAGCGTCTCTCGCCTTCTAAACTTCAAAGCGTTATACAGTACTGGCCAAAAAGGTATTCGCAAACGGTTTTTTGAGAGTAACTTTGCTGAAACTTAAGGGATCGATCTGAAAATTTTACTGTGCATGTCGTACACGGTGACGACAAATTGCGTACAAGGAAATTGCATCATTTTCAGAAATTTTTTGTTTTTTTCAATTTTTTCAATTTTTTCGTTTTTTCATATTTTTATATTTTTGGATATTATGGTTTCTAAGAATGTTGGTTTTGGCTCCTATGTATTTAAAACTGTTTACAGACATGGCCAGACCCCTCGGAAAAAAAAAACATCTCTCAGGACATCCGTAAAGCCATCGTCATCGGCTTCAGAAGTGGATGTTCCAAGGACCTCTTGGCGCAGCAGTTCAATGTTACTAAACGTGCCATCGAGAAGATCTTGAAGCAGTTTCGGGATGAGGTAATATTCAAAAATAGTATAGTTATGGAAAAAAATGTTTAGGGAGCCTTGGTGGAGCGAAAATCGCCTGGAAGACCGCGTATCACGTCGAAGAACATGGATCGGAACATCGTCCGAGTTTCAAGAGAGGATCCCCAGAGGAGTTCTACGGACATTCAGATGGTCGTGAAGACTCCAAATGAAGTCACACCATCCCTGAGAACCGTCAGAAGACGTCTTCAAGATGCTGGACTCCATGGACGACGGCCAGCTAAGAAACCATCGATCAGCAAGAAGAACAGAATCGCCCGCGTAGCATGGGCCAGAGCTCATCTCCACTGGGGACGTCAGGATTGGGCTAATCACGTGTTCAGCGACGAATCCAAGTTCAATCTGTTCGGTACTGACGGTATCAAGTGGATTCGCCGTCCGGTTGGATGTCGGTTCGATCCCAGC